GCCTCAGGGAGACCAAAAGTGGTTGGTGTTGAGGGACACCCACCAAACCCCATCATGAAAGTCCCAACAGCTAAGTGTAAAATGGCAAGTACACATAGTTTCTACATGACGGGAAAGCTGGATAGCCAAAAGTGCAACTTTGTCATAGATTCTGCATCTCAGCAAACCCTTGTGAGTATCAAGGTGCTAGATGACAAAGGAGTACCAGAAGCCATACAGAAGCTCTGTGGTGTGACAGGACATTATGCAAGGTTGTGGGGACCAGTGTGGGTAACTATTGAGCTCATGGGCATGAAGGACAGACACAAAGTATACTTGGCTGACATTGAAGACCAATTCCAACCCTAATATGCACTACTTACTACCGAGGGAGTGTGTAGTTAACTTCGATAAGATGACGATTGGGAACAACAAAGGTCAAATTCCAGTAAGTGTTGCTGCATCTGTTGATTTACATGTCACAGCACTTAAGTCAACTGCAATACCTCCTATGCCAGAGAAGATAATTTGGCGTATGACAAAAGAACATTCCCAAGGATGCCCGATGCTTATAGAAGCAGTGGAAGACCCATCCAAGCCAGCGGATGTGAAGCTTGGAAGGTCATTTGTGGCAGGTCATCATGCAGTACCCATAACAGTGGCCAATTTCTCTAAATGTGATCAAGTATTGTTGGAGTATTGTTGGGTGTGTGCCAGGATGTAGAGGCAGTCAATGTTAAGGCAAAAAATACGACCATAAAGAAAGGACATCCTTTCCGAGAACATTTAACTGACCTCTATAAGAAGAGTATAGTCCATTTGTCATCGTCACAGGCTCTTCAGGTTATGGAACTTTTGGCGAATTAAGCAGACGTCTTTTCGAAAGCAGATCATGACCTCGAATGCACAGACCTTGTAGAGCACAGAATAAATGCAGGCAATCACCATCCAATAAAGATCCCTCCGAAAAGAATAGCTCCAGCAAAGCGACAACAGATGGAGAAGATCATGGATGGCCTAATTAAGGAAGGGATAGTGGAGAAATCAGATAGTCCCAGGTCAGCTCCTTTTGTGTTAGTCCAGAAGAAGGTTGGGATCCAACGTTGCTGCGTGGACTTCAGGAATCGTAACAATATAACCGAAAAAGACTCATACCCATTGCCAATAATTGATGATACCCTTGATGCTCTAAGTGGAGCCAGGTGGTTCTCAACTCTGGACATAAAGTCGGGTTTCCATCAAGTGAAAATGGCTGAAGCAGATAAACCTAAGACTACATTTAGTTGTGGCCAATGTCTTTGGCAATACTGTGTGATGCCATTCGGGTATAGCAATGCTCCAGCAACATTTGAGTTACTGATGGAAAGAGTATTGGAAGGCCTACAATGGAGGATAGCCCTAGTGTACCTGGATGATGTCAATGTTATTGCAACAACGTTTGACAAGGAAATGTCCAGGCTAGGGGAAGTATTCAAGCGTTTGAAATCAGCAAACTTCAATATCCATCCCAAGAAATGCCACTTGTCACAAAAAGAGGTGCTTTACTTGGGTCACATTGTAAGTGATCATGGGGGTGGGAACTGATCCTGACAAGGTGAAAGCAGTGCGTGATTGGCCAACACCAGACAATGTGGGAGAGTTAAGAAAATGCTTGGGACGCTGTACCTATTATCAGAAGTTTGTGAAGGACTTTGCAACTATAGCAGCTCCACTACATGATTTAACAAAAAAAAGGCCAAAGTTCGAATGGGCAGTTTCTTGCTAGCATGCTTTCAAGAGATTGAAAGAAAAGTTGGTCTCAGCTCCACTTTTAACGCTTCCAAATCCCTCACTGCCTTAAATACTGGATTGTGATGCTAGTAATGTCGGAATTGGAGAAGTGTTTTCTCAGAAAGTGGGCGAAAACGAACATGTGGTGGCCTACTTCAGTAGGTTCCTGAGTAGACCAGAGAGGAACTACTGTGTAACACGGAGGGAACTCCTTGATATCGTAAAGAGTCTGACATATTTCTATCCTTGCCTCTATGGGGCTAGGTTTACATTCAGGACAGACTATGCTGGCTTATGCAGGTTAAGATGATTAAAGAACCCAGAGGGACAAATGGCACGTTGGATCGGAAAGTTAGACCAGAATAATTATGATATTGCATACAGAGAAGGAAAGTCTCATGGAAATGCAGATGGACTGAGCCAACGACCCTGCAAAAATGACTGCAGACATTGCTGCAAAAGAGAGGTTGAACTAACCAGGTGTCATCAAGCTGAACTCAAAGTGATTGAAGGAGTTGATGATGGTGAAGTGGAACCAGGTATAAATATTAAAGCAGAGCAGAAGAAAGACCAAGATTTGAAGCCAATAATTGATTTTCTAAAAGCAAGTGTTTTGCGCCCTGCTTGGGAGAAGGTGTCTAGCTTAAGCCCTGTGACAAAGTACTATTGGGAACAATGGGACCAGTTGAAGCTTGAAGATGGTATTCTTGTCCGGAGATGGGAAATTTCAGATGGGAAAGTGACGACCTGGCAAACAGTAATACCGAGAAAGTTACCGAAAGTTGTGGTGCGTCAATCCCATGATAGTTTAACAGGAGAGCATCTCGGATTTAAGAAGACATTGAGTCACTTGTCAGAGATTTTACTGGATAGGTATGAGACAAGATGTGGAAGAATGGTGCAGGATCTCCAGTGCATATTGTGCTAAAAGGGAACCCAAGCATAAGGGACGTGCTCCATGAAGTTATATCAAATTGGTGCACCAATGGAAAGAGTAGCCATTGACATTGCCGGTCCTTTGCCCCAAACTCATGCTGGAAACAGGTACATTTGTGTGGTGATGGATTATATCACCAAGTGGCCTGAGGCATATGCAATACCAAATCAGGAAGCTACAACTGTAGCTTCAGCTATTAGTGATTTCTTTTTCAGGTTTGGTGTTCCGTACGAGCTGCATTCAGATCAAGGCCGTAACTTTGTATCAGCTGTGTTCCATGAATGCTGCAAGTTATTTGGCATACGAAAGACTAGGACAACGTCACTACACCCACAGTCCGATGGGGTGGTAGAAAAGTACAATTGGACACTGGGATAGGAATTGGCAAAGTTTTGTAATAGCTGGCAAGATGACTGGGATGTCTTACTCGCTCCACTGTTGATGGCCTATCTAACAGCAGAGCATGAAGCCACTGGATACACTCCAACAAAGTTGATGTTTTGTCACGAACTTCGGTTGCCAGTGGGTCTGATAACAGGATGCCCACCTTACAAAGAGTTGCCTGAAAATGTGTCAGAGTTCGTGAAAGTGTTATCTGGATGGATGGATGATATTCCCCATCAAGTGCATTCAAACTTGAAAACGTTTGCTGATTCCATGAAGCTATGTTATGATAAGAGATCTACTGAAGTCAGCTTTGTATCAGGAAACAAAGTGTGGTTGTATAATCCCAGGAAGACCAAAGGGATGTTTCCTAAGTTGTCTTATCCATGGGAAGGCCCATATGACATAGTGGATCGTCTTTCCGACGTGACTTTCCGAATAAAACGTGGTCGATGAGGTAAGCCAAAGGTGGTGCATACCAACAGGCTTTGGCATTATCACGGTCCAGGACATTTCAGTTGGAATGAAGTGAACAATGGAACAAATGATGCAGCTGAAGACGTGTCACCAGAAAAATCCACTGTCGAAGAAAAAACTCTACCTGGTTCTGAGAAGGGAAACAGTGAATCCCTTGATGAAGTTACTACCACTGATGTGACTGTTACCGATCATAGGACTTTTCCTGATGGAGCAGATAAACCCCACGTGAAGTAGAAGCCAACGAGATGAAGGCCAGTACGGAAGAAGATACGTCCCGTAAAATTGAGAATTTCTTGAATTTTAATTTTGTGTTTGTAAATTCTGTACATTTAATTAAGTTATTGTTAACTATCTATTGGTTTAATGTAGGTGACTATTGTTCGGGACGAACAAAACTAAGGAAGAGGAAGTGTTACGACAGCGGAAGTCACGTGACGCTGGTAACACGTGATGAGATTCAAGAAAGATTGGGGAACCTCACGAACGTCCCAGCGTTTGCTAGATGCCCTCTATTTTAGTATATAAGACGGTAGATAAATCGATAACGGATATATAATCGTGTAAAGCCGTAAGTAAAGTGTGTAAATCATTGTGAATTATAGGATGTGTTAAAGTTAAAGTGGTTTTTTGAAATTCTGCGTATTGCAAAGTTGTACTAAGGAAGAATAAACTAGTTTTATTTAAGAAAGGACTTGTATCCTTGAAGTTCCTCAGGAAGAATTTTTTACGGGAAATTAACAAAAGACCAGAAACGTAACAATATTTAAGAGGTTTGACCTCAGAATATAAATAGTATACTGTTTCTTTTTTTTTGTTTAACAGATTTCTCGTCAATTGTTTCGAAAATTAGTGGATACACAATACGCCCAGATAATCTCTTTACGTCCAGGCGACACTTACGCCGTACAGAACCTAACGAGGACAGATCGATTAGGCCTACTCATTACTGGAAAGTTGGTATAATTTTACTTTTGCAACATCAAGTAATTGAACAAAAATAGGTTTATTTTGAAAAAAAAAGAATAAGGAGATATCACTAAATATAAAAATTAAAAAATTTCAACGGCAAGTTTATAACTGTAAGTAAAAATATAAGTTAGTAGTTGTACGGCTCATGATTTACTATTTATAACTTTAGGTTCTCTAACATGCAATAGACTATAGAGTGAATGTATTGTTACGACAGCGGAAGTCACGTGACTCTGGTAATTCGTGATGAGTTTCTAGAAGGATCAGGACTGTTCCTGGCAAGTCTAGTGTTTGCAAGACGCCCTCGAAAGTTGTATTGAGAAAGAATAAATTAGTTTTAGTTTTAAAAAATGGACTTGTATCGCTAAAGTTCGTCGGGAAGAATTTATACTGGAAATTAACAAACGACCAGAGACGTAACAGTATTTTAAAGAAAAGAAAATCAAATGTCGTAAATTCTTGAAATAAATTGCTTTGAAAACAAACAAAAAAAACCCAACAAACCACCAGTGTTGTGGCTTATAACTTTTAATAGCAGCTAAGACTAGTAGGTTTGATTGTTTTTCATGTTATTACAACAGTCAACAAGAAAACCGAAAGCGGAAGTCACGTGACGCTGGTGGCACGTTATGAATTTTTTGAATGATCGTGAGTGATTGGGGACGCCCCCTGCTTTTGTATATAAGCCTGGCAGAGAAGCCAGCAATGGATAGATAATTAAAGAAGCGAACAGTAGTTACGGTAATATTGTTACGTCTCTGGTTGTTTGTTAATTTCTAGTATAATTTCTTCTCGAGGAACTTCAGCGATACAAGTACTTTATTTAAATAAAACTAGTTTATCATTTCTCAATACACAGAATTTCCACAGTCTCTTTAACTTAAACACACGCTATAATTCACAACGATTCACACACTTTACTTACGGTCACTACCGCTAACTTGATTCAATTATCTGTTTCTATAAATCACTATCTGCCCTTCTATCTCCGCTTTATTTGCTGGGCTTATACAATAAACGAGGGCGCCTAGGAAAAACTAGAGTTGCCAGGAAAAGATCCTTCGAGTATCTCATGACTTGTTACTAGCGTCACGTGACTTCCGCTGTCATAACAATATAAAGTGTGTGTTTGTACTCGCAGAGAGAAAAGTTATTGAGATTGTGAATCGATGTGAATTGTAGCGTGTATTATAAAAGGTTAGGTTCAAAGTTACGAGAAACGTAATGACTGTAGAGTTACTATGCACTAAAAGTTTGTATCGAGAAAGAATAAACTGATTTAATGAAGAAGGGACTTGTATCGCTGAAGTTCCTCGGAAATAATTTATACCGGAAATTAAAAAAACAAGCAGATACGCTACAATACGTATAATTTACGCGAAGGTCGCACGAATTTTGTGTATATTTTGCTGATACACCTTGCTCTATCGATTTCAGATACGTGTTTTATTAAGTTATTATGAACCATGTTAAAAACTACTTTGAGGAGGTAATGGCTATATATAGGTATATGTATATATTGTTATAAGGTATATATTTTTTAATGTTGTAATTAAGATGTTCGCTAGAAGGTGCCTGGCATTAAAATTGAAAAGTTTTATAATGTAGGCCTAGAAAGTTATAAAAAGTTTGACGTCAGATTTTCTAGTAAATTCAGGCAGTGAAGCAAAGATATTGAGTTGTTGCTAATCAGTGAACGGGGAGTGTTTCTGTTTTACCTAGCAGTGAATCAGTCAGTGTTGTGTTTTTTAGTTGATTGATGAATAATCTGTGAAGTTTATTTTTACGTCAGAGTAGTACAGTTAGCGTAGCTGTAAAGTTAGGCCAACAAATTACAAAGCGTATGAACCTGTAGAAACGCTAAGGAATAAATAAACTAATTTGTTATCGTTTGGTTGACTGAACTTTGATATATCTTTACCAGATTATATAAAAGAACCAGGCAACGAAAGAACAGCATAACAACAATATATATTGTTACGACAGCGGAAGTTGCGCGACCCTGGGAGCATGCACTGGAGTTCTAGAAAGATCAAAGAATCTGTCGAACGGACTAGCGTTTGCTAGATACACTCTCTAATTTGTATATATAAGACCTACGAGAAGTGACGGCATAGATAGATAGATAGGAATATAGATAATTGCAGACAGACTGAGACAGACAATTGAGTCAAGTGCGGTAGTGACCGTAAGTAAGTGCGTGAATCATTGTGAATTATAGCATGTGTTTAAAGTGACTGTGGAAATTAAGTGAATTGCAAAGATGGATTGAGAAAGAATAAACTAGTTTTAATTAAGAAAGGACTTGTATCTCTGAAGTCCCTCGGAAATAATTTATACTGGGAAATTAACAAACGAACATAGAGACGTAACAGTATCTTTATAAGAACTATATTAGAACAACTTATTACCTAAGTTGAGTTCCAGCTACTCATATGGCTACTGAACATTAGTTTCTTTAAAAGAACTGTATTAGAACAATTTATTACCAAAGTTCAGTTGTAGCAACTCATCTGGCTACTAAACATTACTTTACTACTGTTACGTCTCCGTTCGTTAATTAACTTTCCTTAACTTCGTTCCGACGAAACTTTAGCGACACAAATCCTTACTTAATAAAACTGGTTTATTCTTTCCGAATACAACTTTACGATACACTTATTTTCAACAATCACGCTAAAACAAACGCTATATCAACGAACGTCAACAATACTTCTGACTGCAGTTTAATTACTCACTATCTACACACACATTACATTCCCGTTACGTTGTCACCCTCTTTTATATACCAGACTACCCTATATCTAGTAAACGCTAGAGCATTCGCCGAGGTAC